GTTTTTCTGCTAAGGGGACAGGACAACTTCACCGCATCAAAGGGACGATGGACGGGGCCATGTACCGTCAAATCTTGGGTGAGAACCTCCTTCCATCAGCCAGGGCATTGAAAATGGGTCGTGGATGGGTATTCCAGCATGACAATGACGCAAAACACACGGCCAAGGCAACAAAGGAGTGGCTCAAGAAGAAGCACATTAAGGTCCTGGAGTGGCCTAGCCAGTCTCCAGACCTTAATCCCATAGAAAATCTGTGGAAGGAGCTGAAGGTTCGAGTTGCCAAACGCCAGCCTCGAAACCTTAATTACTTGGAGAAGTTCTGCAAAAAGAAGTGGGACAAAATCCCTCCTGAGATGTGTGCAAACCTGGTGGCCAACTACAAGAAACGTCTGACCTCTGTGATTGCCAACAAGGGTTTTGCCACCAAGTACTAAGTCATGTTTTGCAGAGGGGTCAAATAGTTATTTCCCTTATTAAAATGCAAATCAATTTATAACATTTTTGACATGCGTTTTTCCGGATTTTTGTGATTCTGTCTCTCACTGTTCAAATAAACCTACCATTAAAATTATAGAGTGATCATTTGTCAGTGGGAAAACGTACAAAATCAGCAGGGGATCAAATACTTATTTCCCTCACTGTATATGTACGACTCAAATTTGAGCTGATGGTTGATGCACTCCCAAATGTTTCACGAATCACCTTGAGTCACTTGGGGCCCTGACCATTGGCTTGGTTGGCTTTATGCTTTATAGTTGCCACCACTGCAGATAGGGCATAAGGAATTTTCCCAAAGATTTCAGTGAAGTCAGCTGGCCAAGGGTGTCATCTGCGAAACACCTAAAGTTAAAACTGTCTTAAAAATCTCTATATTTTCCACAAATTCTCCATCGTGACCCTATATTCATGGAATTAGCACCTTACCATCCGTTATATATAAAAGACGATTTACTCCATTGACTTCTATGCCTTCAGGATCATGTTGCGAAATGGCACCTTCCATCTCTTCTTGCGATGCCAAGAGATCTACCACCAATTCACTGTCGACTTGTACGCCACAATTGAAGCTTAATTCGATTAAACCCAACAGATGGCAATACATACAACATTTCTATCTTGAAGCTTTCCAAGAGTTACAAATTTAAAAGCTGTCCTCATATCAAACAAATACGCCCTGTGACTGTATCACACAACCAAAAAACCGTAATAAAATACACACGTTGACCGACTTCATTTGCAGCATTCAATTATTCCAAGAAAGACAGCATGACATTACTCTTAACATTTGATTACCGAGACCCGTACGAAGCTGGATAACTTTGCTAGTTATATATAATATATACAAACTCTTAAAAACCATATACCACCACCATTAAACATTTTCATCACAATATTTTTTGACTTGATAACTTTCTTATCGGTTATTAAAAAATATGACCTAATTACACATTTTTTTAAAAACACATTGGACTTATAAACTATTTGACAATCAAATGCTTGCGACAATCAGCACCAACCTATACTGTGAAATGCACCATTGTCAGAGCCGATGCTATGAAAACAAAAGCCAAGTGTAAAGTTATTCCCGTACTGCGACGATAAACACATTTTGGATAAATTATGAATACTGCCGCTTGTGAATATATCACCCTTTATCCAGGAAAACCCCACTAGTGTTTGGTAATTCCATTGATGAGTGCTATGATTTTTAGGACAAGCTGGACACTAAAGCCTTTCACTGAACCAATGAGAGATTCCTTGACCAGAACAAGAGATCCCCCCCCACCATTGCCATATCAATGGGGGCGGGAGGGGGGGGCGGAGATTTCATAGCGAATATGATTATGGCTTTTTTCTTTACCCAAAACACCTCGCCTGTTAAACATAATGCTGATGTGCCCTGACATGCCATGAGAACACCAAGGCGAGTTGACACGTGGTGTAAACCCTCAACTAGGGCAGTGTCTTTGAAGCAATGGCCTTAGAGGCTGTTCCTGGACCGATGCTTCCGAACATCACCAACAGAAGTTGTAAAACTTCAGGCGGGCGGAGTTTACGTGTTTTATAATTCATTCCAAAGGAGTCAGGCTGCCCATGGGATGTTGGACAGTAGAGTGCTTTCGTGTACATTCTCCCTGGACGTATTGCATTTGGAAGCACGCGTTATTGCACAGTACCAGGCACTGAACCCAGCCGTAATTGCCTTCCAGGATTTGTGAGATATGTGTACATATTTATATATTTCATGGCATGCAGTTATGCGCCAGATGTTGCGCCATGGCATTTGGTTTAACAGCAGGAAAAACCAAACGCGATGACTCTGATGCGGCTGCCATAGTACATGAGCTCCCATGCCCTGACGCTGCGAGATTGAGTGGATCTAGCCTCTTGGCCAAGACTCCTGAAGAGGCCCTGCTGGAAGAGAGGACTATGGGCTACAGTACTTTCACCAGCAAGCAGCAGTATGTACAGCCAGCAGTGTAAGTGCATTTTGGGTTTTCCATCCAATTGTGGGGAATTAAAAGTGGTCTCGTGAATTGTACTTGTGTAGTGAAACATAATCCTTGCATATAAAGAAATGGCAAGGCAATATGATAAAGGGGGGTGACACTACAATGGGGAACTGCAGTGATGAGACTCCCGACTTATGGTGCAGAATGTGAACGTCATCAGCACCACTGAGTGGACAGGGCCGCCACGAGGCCGTCAGTTGGGGCAGTTAACGGGTACAAAATAACATTTTTATTTAAAGCTTTCGTGACTGCAGGGATTCATATTCTTGGTTCTTTCGGTAAAGTCACGTAGAAGGGAAATAAAAAATGTTTTATTTTTATTATTTTATTATTTCCCTTCTACGTGACTTTACCGAAAGAACCAAGAATCTATATATATAAAATCGTTCATGTCTGTCTGTCTGTGTGTGTGTGTGTGGACTTTGGCCCATACGCACTTTCATTGGACGGCGGTTGCCCCTGGCAACGGCTAGCCACGCCTTCGCCGCTTTCATTGGACCTGGCAACGGCTAGCCACGCCTTCGCCAAGGGCTGCAGTTTCATTGGACGGCGGTTGCCCCTGCCAACGGCTAGCCACGCCTTCGCCACTTTCATAAGCTCCGTATTTAATTAAATAATAGCCATTACACAGTATTGTTGGAGCGCTAGGGGGGGGGGGGAGGAACGCCACCCGTACCCTGCCTCTTCCAAGCCGACAATTTTAGGCGAGGCCGCAGGCTTTGCACGCTACTAGGCCTCGACACCCACCACGCCACTCTGAGGTAAATTCATCAAAGTTTTTCCTACTCTTCACTACACCCCCACCACAATGTGTGCTATTAATATTACTTTTAAACCCAACGCGCCAACAATCGATTACTTTAATGTTCACTGTACAAATACTCATTAAGCTGGGTGAGCGTACTGCCAGTCTATCATGTACACTGTAGCCTGCTTATTAAGCTCGGTGAGCGTACTGCCACTCTATCATGTACACTCTAGCCTGCTTATGAAGCTGAGTGCGTGTACTGGCAGTCTATAATGTGGACTCTTGCCTGGTTATTATAATCGATTCTTTATATGTTCTTTGTACAAACAGTCATTAAGCTGCTTGAGCGACCCCAGTTCGATTCCAACTCACGCCCACCACCGCTGACGATTATTTGAAACGGACCTGGCCCTCCCCTAGGTCCACTCAGCCTCAAAAGCGTAACTGCTGTCGTGTGTGAACATCGTCACTGGGGAGACAAAGGCGGCGGGGCATCGTGGATCCAAGTCCCGGGCGAAGCCGGGTCATGTGTATGTGTGTTTGTGTTTATGTGTATGTCTGTGTGTCTCTATGTATGTGTGTATGTATGTGTATGTATGTGTTTGTGTGTATGTGTGTGTGTATGTATGTGGGTTTTTTTAATGTCTTTATGTGTATGTCTGCGTGTCTCTATGTATGTGTGTATGTACGTGTGTGCATGTGTTTGTGTGTATGTATGTGTGTGTCTATGTATGTGTGTGTCTATGTATGTGTGTGTATGTGTGTGTATGTATGTGTGTTATGTGTCTGTCTGTGTCTGCATGTATGTGTGTGTGTATTGTGTATGTGTTTGTGTGCATGTATGTGTGTGTTTGTGTGTATGTGTATGTCTGTGTGTATGTGTTTGTGTGTATGTGTGTGTATGTATGTGTGTGTATGTGTTTGTATGTGTTTGTGTGTTTACGCTCGCATTACACAAATGTGTTGCTGGTCTAAGGCGTTCCTCGCACAGCATTGCCGCTTTATTATTTCAGTCGTTTACTGCCTTACGCACCCTGAAAGTCGTGTGTGTCTGCAGCAAGCGCGTGTATGTGTACATATGGACGCGCGCGCGTGTGTTGTGTAGGGGGAACGGTAGTGTAGTGCTTAGCGTGCTGTCTGTGTCTGTGTGTGTGTGTGTCTGTCTGTGTCTGTCTGTGTGTGTCTGCGTGTGTCTGTGTGTGTGTCTGTGTGTGTGCGTGTGTGGTGTGTGGGGAGCGGTAGTGTAGTGCTTAGCGTGCTGTCTGTGTGTCTGTGTGTGTGTGTGTCTGTCTGTGTCTGTCTGTGTGTGTCTGCGTGTGTCTGTGTGTGTGTCTGTGCGTGTGTGCTGTGTGAGGAGCGGTGGGTGTAGTGCTTAACGCTACGCTGCGCTACCAACCCGGCGAACCCAGTTCCATTCCCGCTCACGGCCACCACCGGTGACGATTATTTGAACCTCCCCTAGGTCCACTCAGCCTCAAACGAGTAACTGGTGTGGCGTATTAACATCGGCACTTGGGAGACAAAGGCGGCTGGGCGTGGTAGATCCAAGTCCCGGGCGAAGCCGGGTCATGTGTATGTGTTTATGTGTATGTCTGTGTGTCTGTATGCATGTGTGTATGTATCTGTGTGTATGTGTTTGTGTGTATGTCTGTGTGTGTATGTATGTCGGTTTTGCCGCCGTGGTGGATCCAAGTCCCGGGCGAAGCCGGGTCATGTGTATGTGTTTATGTGTATGTCTGTGTGTCTGTATGCATGTGTGTATGTATGTGTGTGCATGTGTTTGTGTGTATGTATGTGTGTGTGTATGTATGTGGGTTTTTTTGTATGTGTTTATGTGTATGTCTGCGTGCCTGTATGTATGTGTGTATGTACGTCTGTGGATGTGTTTGTGTGTATGTATGTGTGTGTCTATGTATGTGTGTGTATGTGTTTCTGTGTTTGTATGTGTGTGTATGTATGTGTGTTATGTGTCTGTCTGTGTGTCTGCATGTATGTGTGTGTGTATTGTGTATGTGTTTGTGTGTGTTTGTGTGTTTACGCTCGCATTACACAAATGTATAATGCGGGTCTAAGGCGTTCCTTACACAGCATTGCCGCTTTATTATTTCAGTCGTTTACTGCCGTTGCACCCTGAAAGTCGTGTGTGTCTGCAGCAAGCGCGTGTATGTGTACCTATGGACGCGCGCGCGTGTGTTGTGTAGGGGGAACGGTAGTGTAGTGCTTAGCGTGCTGCCTGTGTCTGTGTGTGTGTGTGTGTCTGTGTGTGTGTCTGTGTGTGTGTCTGTGTGTGTGCGTGTGTGGTGTGTGGGGAGCGGTAGTGTAGTGGTTAGCGTGCTGTCTGTGTGTGTGTTTCTGTCTGTGTGTGTCTGCGTGTGTCTGTGTGTGTGTCTGTGCGTGTGTGGTGTGTGAGGAGCGGTGGGTGTAGTGCTTAACGCTACGCTGCGCTACCAACCCGGCAAACCCAGTTCGATTCCCGCTCACGGCCACCACCGGTGACGATTATTTGAACCTCCCCTAGGTCGACTCTGCCTCAAACGAGTAACTTAACTACTGTAGCGTATTAACATCGCCACTGGGGAGACAAAGGCGGCCGGCCGTGGTAGATACAAGTCCCGGGCGAAGCCGGGTAGTACAGCTAGTATGGGTACAAAATTGTCAACATGTTCTCTTATTGCTTATGAGGGAGTTGGTGCAGTGGAGTAACGCGCGTGGGGTTTTGCAATCAGTGTGCATGCACGTGTGAGCCGGGGACAGTGAAGTCACGCCAGGACAAATGGGTGCTGTGTGAGAGCAATCCAGAGAGAGACAACCAATTAGAATGCATAGCGGTGATTGGCTGGCTGCAAATGCAGACACGGTGTAGGCACCTGGGAGTCTGCAGATTGAGGCGATAGCAGCGGAAGTGCAAGAGGCGACGGGAGGACGCCAGATTAATTAGGGCGTTTAATGAGGAGCATGATAAAAACGGCAACGTGTGAGGCAGGGAGTGAAGTTGGTTGGAACGAAGAGAAGAGCAAACATGAGAGAAGTCCAAGGCCCCACTCTCCACGCCTCGTCCTCTCCAGCGGTGATGGCTGAACCCCCACTGGAGGCAAGGGCGAGGTTGGAGAGGGCAGGAAGGCTAGTAGTAGAGAGGCTAGCGGAATCCTAAGTGTGAGTGTGTAAAGACTAGCATGGGAGAGAAGCTAGCAGAATATAGTGAGGCTAGCAGTAGAGAAGCTAGCAGAGAGTATAGCGAGAAGCTAGCAGTGGAGAAGCTAGCAGAGTACATGGTGAGAGGCTAGCAGTGGAGAAGCTAGCAGAATGTATAGTGAGAGGCTAGCAGTGGAGAAGCTAGCAGAGTATATAGTGAGAGGCTAGCAGAGTATATAGTGAGAGGCTAGCAGTCGAGAAGCTAGCAGAGTGTATAGTGAGAGGCTAGCAGGTGAGAAGCTAGCAGAGTGTATAGTGAGAGGCTAGCAGAGGATAAGCTAGCAGAGTGTATAGTGAGAGGCTAGCAGGTGAGAAGCTAGCAGAGTATATAGTGAGAGGCTAGCAGAGAGAGGGAGCGGAGCGATGGAGTTCTGTTCGAATAAAAGTAACGCAGGAGAAAAAGAAGTTGTCCGTGTGAACTAAAACCACTACATTTGTACCAATGGGGTAACTACTCATCTGGCAGAAATAAACTGGATCAGTTCACCGCTCCATTTCAGTTCTTTCAAAATTTGCATTGGATCAGTCTTCAGTTTAGGCATTTGTTCACCGGTGGCCTGAGCGCAGTATTTCACAAAATTTTTAAGGTACGGATGACCATCTAAAAGCTTGCTGATTGATTCATTTTCTGCACAATTGCCAAACTCCCATGTTGCGTTTTTCGGAATCTCTACTGTAGGTTTAAATGTGCAACTCGCGAAGACCTGCACGCATTTAGAACACGGTGGATGGGCTATCAGAGTGAAGTCTTCGTGCTTATAGGCCTCGGAGGTCACTATCCGAGGGAATTCTAAAATACCTCCTTTCTCTGTGTTGTTTTGGGCGAATGTGACAGCTTCTGCTATCTTTTCATGCCAGTTAAACAGGCAGTTAAGGGCCAGCATTATTTGCGACACCTTTCTTCCTGAACAGCTCAAGGAGGCACCCCAGTAAGGCTCTGGTGTGGCTTTTTTAGGGTTCCCTTTATGATCTATGTCATTGAAATCACTTTTTGACACTACTGTAGCATAAAAATACATTTTCTTATTTTGTTTAAGAATGCTTTCGGCAAAGACCTCCAGAGTCTTCTTAATGGCATCGCTGTTGTGAGGACCTTCAGCACGCACGACCTGTATTCCAAAAAATATATTTCCAGAGGGATGGGAGAGTTTATAATGTCAAAAATGTTTCAAAATAATGCACAACAAAATAATGCACAAATAACCATTTAATATTAGTTCAGAGGCCTAATATGCGTGAATGTTTGAAGAGTTGCTGCTAGCCAAACTATTTCGTGTTATCTTCCGCAACCCATTAACCTCATGCTGCCAATAGCGCTGCAGAACCTTTAGCTTCACAAGAGAATTGTACAAAAACACACTCACCATCTCGAGCAGAATCGAGTATGGTGTTGTCCTTGGCACGTGTGTTCTGAATGCATCCGGGTTCCCTGACTGGAATTTCCCAAAAGACATTTCTTCAGGTTCGACGATGGGTTTGTTGATTTGTCCAAGAAACAAAATGGCGTGCCGAGCCTGTAAAAAGTAGATGCGTTTTTTTACTTCTGTACATTAAAGGGTTGTCCCACATTTCACAGAGTAATATTACCTTAATATATGTTAGGAATTATTGCTAATTGGATACTGAGCAAACCCAATGTATAGCTGCAGAGGTAACATAAACTTGTTTTGTGTCCTTTTAAATATACATTTCAAACCAGGTTTCCCTCGCTTTACACGTAAACACAGTGTTTGTTTGCGATTTCGCCGACATGTAGCTAACCGATTTCTACCCCAAATTCACTATATTATGCGGTTTGACTTCACTCGCATGTGGCTATGCAGTCGTTCGTAGGACACCATTGTTCGTGTGCTGTACCCATGACTTGGAAGGCAGCCATCTCCTCATACGGTTTCGCTTTGTGCGCACTGTCTTTGGAATGCATCTACTACGGTTTAAAACGAGGAAAACCTGCACACTCTTTAAAATCATTGGGGAACGTGCTAACTTCTTTAACACGATCAACATCTTTATTAATAACCAGCGGAGGTATTTTCAAAGGCCCATTCTCGCATGCACTCGGTAATTTTGGACTGGTTTACATATTTCCTTATTCGGCCATTGTTTTCTCTGAAACTCCTTATCTATTTTGATTCGTGTTGATATTCTTTCCCTTCTGATTTGATTTTAGTTAGCCGGAAAATGATCTTACGTCGATGAAATATTCATTTCAAAAAAACATACCCTTGGAAACATCACCGTGTCTCATCGCTCTTTTTTTCAGGATGTCCTGTCAAGTTTGACAAATGTGGACCATGACACTGGCACACAATTGCATAATCTTGCGAATGATATCGCAGAATCGTTAACCTCTACCATGAAGCAGATGGCATGTATTTTTATTTTGCAGGCAGTGCTAATCAGGGCGGCCACTTGACTTGAACTGTGAACTTCTGTCTCTGCTCTAATCAATCCATGCACTACATTCCCAGGTCTGCGGTGGTGGCTATTGTAAGCTGACACTGCTTCAGTAAAAATTATAAATGCATCTTAATGAGGAAAAAGCCAAATATATTTATGCTTACCTCATCAAGGTACGTGTAGATCTCATTCTTATCGAGTTTTGATTGCATTGCATAGTGTGTCATTTGACAAAATAAAGCACCGTACGTCACTATGAATAGATTCTTGTATTCTTTCAGGAATTTCAATCTTTTTTCTTCCTTTGTCTCCTTCGTAATTTCTCTGCAAATTAGAAATATACACACATTTTTTTTAAAGATAACATTCCAAAACATTTATTTAGTTTTTAATGTTGAAATATTGCATTATAACTCCTTTCATACCATTAAACATTTACTAAAGCAACATAATTCTCCACGTCAATTACTTTGCGTACAAGACTCCACACTCTCAGGTTTCCCTCGCAATTGTGTGACGGTATATCATATGAACCCCTAACCCAGGGGTCGGGAACCTTTTTGACTGGGAGAGCCATAAAAGCCAAATCTTTCTAAATATATTTCATTGAGAGCCATATAGTATTTTTAACGTATAATAAATTAAATATGTCTTACTTTTAATGCGACCCGTGACCCGAGAAATTTTATCTTCAAAACAAATTTCTGTTTACTTTCAGTTCCAAACTGATTTTATTGTTTTATTATTATTTTTTTCAACTCAAAATTGTCTGGGAGCCATATGCCGTCACCGGAAGAGCCATATATGGCTCTTGAGCCATAGGTTCCCGACCACTGCCCTAACCTGTGACCCATATATGATGTAGCACATGTTTTGAGCTGTGGACTACCACATTTATCATCATCATCAGAAGCAGCGATGGTCAATCTACTGCTGGATGAAGCCTCCCTAGGCCACTGATATATCTCGGGATCCTACGATGTAATCATCCATCCAGCACCTGCACACGAGCCGATTTCATTATTCCATCTGCTAAAAGGTCGATTTACCCTCTCGGGATGTGTTCCATCGCATCAACATGTCTTTATAAACTAACATTGTTGAAGTACGCGCAAGTAAAACGCAGTAGCTCATTGCTTATGTGTGGTACCAAATACTGTTTCTGCCTTAAGATGTTTAATTTGCCGTTACGCATGCTTCCTTGCTGAAGTTAAAAAGTTTCAACACACTCTCAGGTGCGTTTTTGGGTTCTACCGTGTGTTGTTCAGCATCATGTCTGACGATTTGCTCCTTGTGCTCACAGCTGCTGTGGTGGCGAGATGTTAACTACATCGCCTGGTGTGCAGGAGGTTGTGGGTTCGATCCCAACCCCTGACGCCTGCTGTATATTTGGAGTTTGCATGTCCTCCCCATGATCGCGTGGATTTTTCTCCGGCTCCTCTGGTTTTTCCCTCCGCATTTTGAATCAACATGCGTTTCAGAGTATTTGTCTGCTTATTATTTTGAGCTATCATTTGTGGCAAGGTCGCTTCTAAAAGAAAACGATATAGTTCAGTGGGCCTTACCTGATAAAATAAAATAAAAATCACTCCTCGAAATATATTTCAACGTGATAAGCCAAATCGTTGGGTTTATCACTTGTGGCAAGGTCGCTTCTGAAAAGGAGCGATATTTCTCAGTGGGACTTGCCTAGTAAAATAAAAAAATATAAGTTCAGCTTCTTCAGGAAATGAGTGGAGAAGCTTTGTGTTCTACACTCGGCAGTAAGTTGCTTAAATACGTTTTTTTTTCTCAAGATGACAGCATAAAACATATTCCTGCGGAGGGAGCTGGTAGGAACGTTGGGTTGCTCGGTCAATGGCCAGGGTCAACGGCGGCGTGGTGTATTCTGCAAATATGCCCGACTGTGAGGGCGGGCACAAGCCGGCGTGAGTAGGTTAAACGTTGAGTTTTATAAGGGCACCACGGGGTGACCAGCCCCTCCCCACCCAGCCCCACCCCTCCCACCCCCCACCCAGCCCCTCCCAACCCTCTCCACACAGCACCTCCCCACCCTCCCTCCCCACCCAGCCCCTCCCCACCCTCCCCACCTAGCCCCTCCCCACCCTCCCCTCTCCACCCAGCCCCACCCCTCCCATTTTTGGATGCACGACGGACGGACGGACACAATAATCCCCTGTGGGCTGGTGGAACCAGGAGGTACCCACCAGTACATGCCTACGCGACAAGGTAAGTGCATATAAAATCTCCTTCTACCCCAACCCATGTAGAGTCCCACGGCAGTACGTTTGGAAGTGTTAGAGGATACGTTTACCAAGCACTGTTCAGCGTAGACTTTAACTTCGTTTTAAATGGTTTACAGTGGCGCTACATCGTGGGCAGTGCAAAATACATTGTTGTTCTGCACTAAACTTTGATGTGCATGCTGCAGAGCTATTAGAGGCCCCCTATTCAGCAGCGTACTTAGCAAATAAACTGTACGTGGAATTCTCTACCGTTTAGCTTTTTTGCATTTTGGATTTTTTTCTGTTTAAGTTGTGAAAGGAAACATTATCTTACACACTAGCATCGCATGCGCACGGTTTAACCGAAAGAGTGACGACTCCGTTTGACACAAAATGTCTTACTTTGCCTCCATCGCCGTCGTTTCGTGTTATTCCGTTACTCTGTGCGTCTCCTGCAATGTGCACAAGACCGAACACACCGTCAGCACCTTGGGAGAGAAAAAAAATCCACGAATTAGTTCCGCGGTTGAATCATTTTGTCATTGCGCCCTCCAGAGTTGCAAGCGGTTCAACTGAGCAATTCTCGGGCACAGCCGAGAAGGGGCCTCTTTGATGCCACTGCAAGCCATTGCGATTACAGGCGACAGTGTAAACGCAGCGGTGTTAATTCTGGTCACGAAATCAGTGGCCAAAAAATATTTGTCAACACGAGGAAAATGCATCGACCACGATGATTGCGACTGCCCACCAGAACATGACTGACGGTGAGACATGAACAGGTCTGCATGAAAGACGCTGAGTAAAAATGATGATTGCAACTGCCCACCAGAGCATGACTGACGGTGAGACATGAACAGGTCTGCATGAAGGACGCTGAGTAATAAGTATAACCCGTAAAAACAAAGTTTTTCACTCTAAATCCTTTATATGCGTGGCGGCTAGAGTCCTCTCGTCCTCTGGCTTGAGATGGCTGCCACCTATGGGTCAGATGATTGTCTGCCAGTATTAAGCAATTGGTAATTAAATATTTAATTTGTTTTCCCTAAACAGTGTAAAATTTTAGAAAAAAAATTTCACGAACATTAATTGTCTCGCACAACGAGTCTGTGTGCAAAATGTCAGCTCGATTGGATCACGGGAAGTGGGTTAAAAAACGACTGAAAGATTTGCACGGTCGTAAGCAAGCAAGCAAGCACGCAAGCACGCAAGCAAGCAAGTGAACTTAATATAAAAGGATTTAAAAATGATGATTGCGACTGCCCACCAGAGCATGACTGACGGTGAGACACGAACAGGTCTGCATGAAAGACGCTGAGTAAAAATGTGACAAGAGTCAGCCGTGGCTTATAAACATATTTACTGAGGTCCATAATAGAAGTTTTTTGGGATTAGATTGCATAAATGTCAACGTGTCGTTAAACCCGTCACCACCCGGCACAGCCAACTAGTAAGGGTTGTCACGTCAACAGAACGTGCCAATTCGTCACTAGTGCAGCAACACCGGTGTGATGTTTTGGGAATTCTCCAGATGGCTTTCATTTCAGAGGCATTGAATCCATAATACATAGTTTTTTTGGTTAGATCGCATAAATATATAAATGTGTCGTTAAACCCACCACCACCTGACACAGCCAATTGGTATTCGTTGCTCGTACAGCACACCGGTTGTGTGTTGGAGAGCCAAGCCACAACATTTGCAATCTGAGTTCGACGTTTCGCCAGCAATTACAACTAGCTTCATCAGGCCGACAGACAGATTTGTGTGTTAAATTTGCTGAGGTCACCCTTTGCCTTGGAGAGCGGTGTAGTGCACACCCGTCCAACATTTAACGAAGCGCAGAGAAATTGTCTGACCGCTTGAGTCCACTACTCAAATGAAATGTGCAGACACGGACTCGACTAACAACGCACGGCTGCCGTCCAATGGAAAGATAACTATGACTAAAACATAATAATAATCACCACCTTGTGGAAAGTTAACAGCGGTTGTTATTTGGATATACTGGGTCCTGTCATAGCAATGTTGAATTTCCACCAGCGGCGGTTCGGACTAAGGAAGGGCGGTGAACGCTTACGGAGTGATCATCAAAAAAGATAACGCGACAAAGTATTGGTCAAACTAAATTTACAAACTTGATTTGAAGCTTTCGTGACTGCAGGAATTACTCTTCGGTTCTTTCGGTAAAGTCACGTAGTTGTGGCTATGCTGTGTGTGTCTCTCTCTGCGTGTCTCTGTGTTGTCTTTCTCTGCTTGTGTATCTGTGTTGTGTCTCCGTGTCGTCTCTCTCTGCTTATGTGTCTGTCTGTGTCTGTGTTGTGTGTCTGTCTGTCTCCGTGTCTGTGTTTTGTCTCTGAAATTTAGCTCTGCCTGATGACGGTTGCTTGTGTTGCAATCGAAACGTCGTACTATATTATTAAATTAATTTTATTTCTACGTGACTTTACCGAAAGAACCAAAGAGTAAATTTACAAAGCCATATCTATATATATAAAATCGTTCATGTCTGTCTGTCTGTGTGTGTGTGTGTGGACTTTGGCCCATACGCACTTTCATTGGACGGCGGTTGCCCCTGGCAACGGCTAGCCACGCCTTCGCCGCTTTCATTGGACCTGGCAACGGCTAGCCACGCCTTCGCCAAGGGCTGCAGTTTCATTGGACGGCGGTTGCCCCTGCCAACGGCTAGCCACGCCTTCGCCACTTTCATAAGCTCCGTATTTAATTAAATAATAGCCATTACACAGTATTGTTGGAGCGCTAGGGGGGGGGGGGGGAAGGAACGCCACCCGTACCCTGCCTCTTCCAAGCCGACAATTTTAGGCGAGGCCGCAGGCTTTGCACGCTACTAGGCCTCGACACCCACCACGCCACTCTGAGGTAAATTCATCAAAGTTTTTCCTACTCTTCACTACACCCCCACCACAATGTGTGCTATTAATATTACTTTTAAACCCAACGCGCCAACAATCGATTACTTTAATGTTCACTGTACAAATACTCATTAAGCTGGGTGAGCGTACTGCCAGTCTATCATGTACACTGTAGCCTGCTTATTAAGCTCGGTGAGCGTACTGCCACTCTATCATGTACACTCTAGCCTGCTTATGAAGCTGAGTGCGTGTACTGGCAGTCTATAATGTGGACTCTTGCCTGGTTATTATAATCGATTCTTTATATGTTCTTTGTACAAACAGTCATTAAGCTGCTTGAGCGACCCCAGTTCGATTCCAACTCACGCCCACCACCGCTGACGATTATTTGAAACGGACCTGGCCCTCCCCTAGGTCCACTCAGCCTCAAAAGCGTAACTGCTGTCGTGTGTGAACATCGTCACTGGGGAGACAAAGGCGGCGGGGCATCGTGGATCCAAGTCCCGGGCGAAGCCGGGTCATGTGTATGTGTGTTTGTGTTTATGTGTATGTCTGTGTGTCTCTATGTATGTGTGTATGTATGTGTATGTATGTGTTTGTGTGTATGTGTGTGTGTATGTATGTGGGTTTTTTTAATGTCTTTATGTGTATGTCTGCGTGTCTCTATGTATGTGTGTATGTACGTGTGTGCATGTGTTTGTGTGTATGTATGTGTGTGTCTATGTATGTGTGTGTCTATGTATGTGTGTGTATGTGTGTGTATGTATGTGTTATGTGTCTGTCTGTGTCTGCATGTATGTGTGTGTGTATTGTGTATGTGTTTGTGTGCATGTATGTGTGTGTTTGTGTGTATGTGTATGTCTGTGTGTATGTGTTTGTGTGTATGTGTGTGTATGTATGTGTGTGTATGTGTTTGTATGTGTTTGTGTGTTTACGCTCGCATTACACAAATGTGTTGCTGGTCTAAGGCGTTCCTCGCACAGCATTGCCGCTTTATTATTTCAGTCGTTTACTGCCTTACGCACCCTGAAAGTCGTGTGTGTCTGCAGCAAGCGCGTGTATGTGTACATATGGACGCGCGCGCGTGTGTTGTGTAGGGGGAACGGTAGTGTAGTGCTTAGCGTGCTGTCTGTGTCTGTGTGTGTGTGTGTCTGTCTGTGTCTGTCTGTGTGTGTCTGCGTGTGTCTGTGTGTGTGTCTGTGTGTGTGCGTGTGTGGTGTGTGGGGAGCGGTAGTGTAGTGCTTAGCGTGCTGTCTGTGTGTCTGTGTGTGTGTGTGTCTGTCTGTGTCTGTCTGTGTGTGTCTGCGTGTGTCTGTGTGTGTGTCTGTGCGTGTGTGCTGTGTGAGGAGCGGTGGGTGTAGTGCTTAACGCTACGCTGCGCTACCAACCCGGCGAACCCAGTTCCATTCCCGCTCACGGCCACCACCGGTGACGATTATTTGAACCTCCCCTAGGTCCACTCAGCCTCAAACGAGTAACTGGTGTGGCGTATTAACATCGGCACTTGGGAGACAAAGGCGGCTGGGCGTGGTAGATCCAAGTCCCGGGCGAAGCCGGGTCATGTGTATGTGTTTATGTGTATGTCTGTGTGTCTGTATGCATGTGTGTATGTATGTGTGTATGTGTTTGTGTGTATGTCTGTGTGTGTATGTATGTCGGTTTTGCCGCCGTGGTGGATCCAAGTCCCGGGCGAAGCCGGGTCATGTGTATGTGTTTATGTGTATGTCTGTGTGTCTGTATGCATGTGTGTATGTATGTGTGTGCATGTGTTTGTGTGTATGTATGTGTGTGTGTATGTATGTGGGTTTTTTTGTATGTGTTTATGTGTATGTCTGCGTGCCTGTATGTATGTGTGTATGTACGTCTGTGGATGTGTTTGTGTGTATGTATGTGTGTGTCTATGTATGTGTGTGTATGTGTTTCTGTGTTTGTATGTGTGTGTATGTATGTGTGTTATGTGTCTGTCTGTGTGTCTGCATGTATGTGTGTGTGTATTGTGTATGTGTTTGTGTGTGTTTGTGTGTTTACGCTCGCATTACACAAATGTATAATGCGGGTCTAAGGCGTTCCTTACACAGCATTGCCGCTTTATTATTTCAGTCGTTTACTGCCGTTGCACCCTGAAAGTCGTGTGTGTCTGCAGCAAGCGCGTGTATGTGTACCTATGGACGCGCGCGCGTGTGTTGTGTAGGGGGAACGGTAGTGTAGTGCTTAGCGTGCTGCCTGTGTCTGTGTGTGTGTGTGTGTCTGTGTGTGTGTCTGTGTGTGTGTCTGTGTGTGTGCGTGTGTGGTGTGTGGGGAGCGGTAGTGTAGTGGTTAGCGTGCTGTCTGTGTGTGTGTTTCTGTCTGTGTGTGTCTGCGTGTGTCTGTGTGTGTGTCTGTGCGTGTGTGGTGTGTGAGGAGCGGTGGGTGTAGTGCTTAACGCTACGCTGCGCTACCAACCCGGCAAACCCAGTTCGATTCCCGCTCACGGCCACCACCGGTGACGATTATTTGAACCTCCCCTAGGTCGACTCTGCCTCAAACGAGTAACTTAACTACTGTAGCGTATTAACATCGCCACTGGGGAGACAAAGGCGGCCGGCCGTGGTAGATACAAGTCCCGGGCGAAGCCGGGTAGTACAGCTAGTAGTCTATATATTAGTCTGGAAACTTAATTATTAAACACACGGACTTCCGTAACACTTAAAACCAACAATCAATTTGACTTCCTTAACAATCACAGAAGACAAAGATCCCCCGTATAGCCTTAACAGACTATAGGGGCAAGTACTATTAGCGAGCACCTAGGGTGGGTGGCCAGCACCACGCCCGGCCGCCTTTGTCTCCCCAGTGACGATGTTTACACACCGCACCAGGTACTCAGTTGATGCTGAGTCGACCTAGGGGAGACGCTGCACCACCACTCCCCGCTTCGCAATGACACAACAACAACAACAGGGGACGTCACCACGACACTTGTGCCAGGCTATGTGCACGTTGACACACACACACATAAACATGTACAATTAACACTCAAGCGTTCAGAAGGGTGCAGAAACCTATACCTGGTTGTCGTGATTCCACAGGTGGTGGGGGCCTTGTAAATGAATAGTGGACAAACTTTGAGGAAGTCGCTCTATATATGGGGTAGTGTGGGTGCGGTGGTTTGCATTGGCGGAACGAGTAGTATCTCATTTCGGAGAAATGATGGGATCAGTCGTCATTGTTGTGAACGAATAAGTGACGTCCCCGCGGGTTTCGTTCAGCCTGTAAGCTTGTCTTCCATGAGAGGGCGCCTCTCAACCGACACACGTAAAAATGATTAGTGTACGGAGCGTCACGAATTCGTGATCGCCGGAATGCTCAAGGCAACGAACGGTTTTATAATATTCACGTCAAGGACGTAATTATAATACATATTGGGGGGGACACATCCCCACACCACACATCCCCAATATTCAAATATGCTCAAAATGTCCCCCCCAATATATTGCTATAAAAAAAATAATTGCTATGCTATGTAAAAACAACACTTTGCTAAACCTTGACCACAAAATCTGTACTTGTCTCCATATAAATAAATGCATAGATTTCTGGTTATATGATTGTGGTTATGGTTGTACTTTATTAATCCCTAATCTCTGCCATGACATACAATGAAACAAGAAATGGTACAAAAGAAAAAACAGAGCAATGTAATACAATACACTATTGGACATTATTGTAAAAAAAAAAGTCCATCCCATGTGTTAGTAAATTTTTTAATGTTTTAGGCAGGAAATGAGTTTTCAAATTTATATATTTTTCTGGGTTGGGACCCCCCAGACACCCTGGAAGTGTTGGTCCCCCCCAATGTTGACTCCATGGCTACGGTCTTGATTCACGTATTGTACTTTTTTAAAAATCCCATCCGCAAAAACCATTTGATGCAATTCCCACCACTTATTGAACAATCTGTGTTGCGTATATACATTTTTTTTGGTGTGGCTTTCACGTAAGCCCTCTTGGGTTTCCAACCTCACCCGCGCACTTTTTTGGAACATTGTTTTTTTTTATTTTGCACTGTTTGTCTTTCACTTGGAATTTTTTGTGCGAATAATAAAATAAAATCCAATGTCATCCCCGTTGTGCAATTGGCATCACGGCGTGAGACAAAGGACGCGCCAGGATCTCTCCCTGAGCAGTGAGACCCTTCCGTGTACAAGAACCGCGCACGGAAGCGGACACCACAGAACTACCTCTGAGACCTGCTCCATTCACCCACGGGGCAGCACCATACTCGCTCTGCATGTCATATTGTTGTGACGTTCATCGCACGGCAGTCGACGCGATATGTTTCACTTCTCAGGGCTGAAATGTATAAAAATTAAGTGCACAATCAAATGTAATGTGATGGCTGTTTCTGTGTCGTCATTGATGACTGGAGGCTAAGACCATTAACGCACTGCTGCACTTAAGAACCAAGTTTGGTCACGGACAACTCAAACCTGCAATGAAATCCCAGAAGATCAGCGGGGCCGACTCAACGCTTTACCCTCTGAGCCACGTTGGACCATCTTCTTCCCAATTATTTCTTAGTCATCATCCACACGGTTCATTTATTTTCTTTCTACGTGACTTTACCGAAAGAACCAAATGGTACCTTTACAAAGCCACATACGGTACGTCTATATTTTAATCTGGAAAATTAATTATTAAACACACGGATTTCCGTAACACTTAAAACCAACAATCAATTTGACTTCCTGAAAAATGACGATAGACAACAACCACCACCCCTCACGGTCCTACCCAACAACAACCACCACACCTCATGGCCCTGCCCAACCACCACCACCACACCTCACGGCCCTGCCCAACCACCACCACCACCTCATGGCCCTGCCCCAACCACCACCACCACACCTCATGGCCCTGCCCCAACCACCACCACCACCCCTCACGGTCCTACCCAACAACAACCACCACCCCTCACGGTCCTACCCAACAACAACCACCACACCTCATGGCCCTGCCCAACAACAACCACCACCTCATGATCCTGCCCAACCACCACCACCACCACACCTCATGATCCTGCCCAACCACCACACCTCATGATCCTGCCCAACCACCTACACCTCATGATCCTGCCCAACCACCACCACCACCACACCTCATGGTCCTGCCCAACCACCACACCTCATGATCCTGCCCAACCACCACCACCACACCTCATGGCCCTGCCCAACCACCACCACCTCATGGCCCTGCCCAACCACCACCATCACACCTCATGATCCTGCCCAACCACCACCACCTCATGGCCCTGCCCAACCACCACCACCACATCATGGCCCTGCCCAACCACCACCACACCTCATGGCCCTGCCCAACCACCACCACCACATGATCCTGCCCAACCATCACACCTCATGGCCTGCCCAACCACCACCACACCTCATGGCCCTGCCCAACCACCACCACCACACCTCATGGCCCTGCCCAACAACAACCACCACACCTCATGATCCTGCCCAACCACCACCACCTCACGATCCTGCCCAACCACCACCATCACCACACGATCCTGCCCCAACCACCACCATCACCACCTCATGGCCCTGCCCAACCACCTCCACCACATGGTCCTGCCCAACCACCACCACCTCACGATCCTGCCCAACCACCACCATCACCACACGATCCTGCCCCAACCACCACCATCACCACCTCATGGCCCTGCCCAACCACCTCCACCACATGGTCCTGCCCAACCATCACCACCTCATGATCCTGCCCAACCACCACCAACACCACCTCATGGTCCTGCCCCAACCACCACCACCAAACCTCATGATCCTGCCCAACCACCACCAACACCACCTCATGGCCCTGCCCCAACCACCACCACACCTCACGATCCTGCCCAACCACCACTCATGGTCCCGCCCACCAACCTCAACCGCCTCGTGTACAAAATTGGAACCATCGCCACCACCCCCACGAAGACGTCGCGTTCAGTGCACGTGACCCGAGTTGCTCTCTCACTCGAGTGGCGCTGATGGCGGCGGCGGCGTCGTCGTCTCTGTCGTTGTAGAAGCACGTGCGTGTTTTGTTCTCACGCCCACCAAGAAGCCGCGTCCTGAACCTGGAGACAATGCCCGAGCATCGGGCAGAAGCTATCGCCACAGCCGACGAGGAGACACGGCGCAATGGAGGAGGCCGAGAAGGAGGAGGAGGAGGCCACGGGTCTACCTCGACAGGCGAGGAGGACATTGCTAGTGCTGTTGTTGTTTGCTCGTGATGGTGATGGTGGTGATGATGTTGATGAGAGCGGTGCTGGTGGTGATGTGGAAGTGGCTGCATGTAGCTTGTACATCCAAGGGGGTGCTGCTGGTTATGGTGGTGGTTGTGGCTGTATAATGTGATGGTTGTTGTTGGTGGTGGTTGTGGAAATAGCTTGTTGATGTTGGTAGTGGTAGAGGCTTGGGGAGGTAATGGTCGTGGTGGTGGTGGTGGTCGTAGTTGTTGATAGTTGTGGTGTGCTAACATCTCGCCGTCGCGTGTTGTTAGGCATGATGTCCGACGTTTCTTGTCCACTCCCTGAAGAAGCGCCCAGCATTTCCACCACCCGGCACAGCTGGAAAGCCGCACGCAGTAACGGGCACACTGGCGACTCTTCGGGGTGATGAAGAAGATGATGATGATGGTGGTGGTGGAAGCGATGATGATGATGTTGATAATGTTGGTGGTGGCTGTGGCCATGGAGGGTCGTAGTTGTTAGTGGTGAGAGTGGTGAAGGGGCAGTGCCGGATTAAGATAGTGCGGGGCCTGTAGCGTACGTTATAAAGGGCCCTAAATATAAAATACACATTAAAACATATTTTTAACTTGCATAGTAAAGTAATTGTATTTTTTCATTTGCTATACAGCCGGATAATGCGACAAATATCTAACCTTAAACACCCAGTCGTTCATAAAAGCTGAAGGCAGTATAGTACTATAGTAATAGAGCAAGTGCAGAATCACTCAACCGGAATTGATAGCTAGAAAGCATTTAGCGCGGGGCCCTTGAAAGTGCGGGGCCCGTAGCTACTACATATGTAGTGCATATGTAGTAGCTACATATGTACTACACATGTAGCATGTGGTAGCTACTTTTGCTACTACGATAATGCGGCACTGGTGAAAGGAGGTGGTGGGTTTACTACCCGCAGTGATGGCGAGGGTGACTTCCACTGTCGGTTGTGGTGGTGGTGTTAATAACACTGGTCAACAAAAAAATCATCTTTTTTCTGGCCTGGACTTTTGCAGCTGTTTTAGACTAATTTCAGGGTGCTGATTCCAAATTTGATCTCAGATTTGCTCTCACATCTCATTTTGATGCTATCAGGATACCACATTTTCATTGCTTTTACCCGAAATTAACTCTGTCACTTATGATTGCAAGTTGTTGCGAGTCAGTGACTGCTTTAGTGTTCAAATATGGTGCCGTATGTTTACATTCTTTATATTAAGTTCGCTTGCTTGCTTAGGACCGTGCAAATCTTTCGGTCGTTTTTTAACCCACTTCCCGTGATCCAATCGAGCTGACATTTTCCACACAGACTCGTTGTGCGTGACAATTAATGTTCGTGAAATTTTTTTAAATTTTTTTACACTTTTTAGGACAAAAATATAATATTTAATTACCAATTGCTTAATGGTGCAATGCAATCATCTGACCCATATGTGGCAGCCATCTCAAGCCAGAGGACGAGAGGACTCTAGCCGCCATGCATATAAAGGATTTATAGTGAAAACTTTGTTTTTACGGGTTATACTTATTAGGATAGTGTGTTTATAATATTCTTTTATGTAGATATCCACATTTATTTAATATTTTTCTTCTGCAGTTTTTATTAAAAATGCAATATTTGATATCTCAAAAACCTGATGTGATAGACAAAAACTGATGCCAGATTTGGAATCAGCACCCCAAAATTACATTAAAACCGTTGGAATACCTTATGCCAGAAAAAGTGTGTTGACCAGTGTAATGGTGGTGTGGTCGTGCTTGACCTGGACAAATTCCCATCGGTGACCTCCTCCGGCAGGCAAGGCTGCGTTGGCCGGGTCACGTAGCCCGCATGCCCAAAGCAGCTTCTGTTTCGCCGCATAGAGGGGAGCTAAAT